GGAGCAGTTGGGGGTTCGGTGCCTTGCTCAAGGGCACCTCAGTCGTGGTATTGAAGGTGGGAGAGAGCGCTGTACATTCACTCCCCCCACCTACAATCCCTGCCGGTACGAGACTCGAACCCACAACCTTTGGGTTATGAGTCCGACTCGCTAACCATTAGGCCACGACTTCCCCCATACACCTAACGAGCTGACATTAGGAGTAACTTCTTAAAGTGACAGGATTAATCTGTGTTCCAAATGGGCACATAACCAATCTGTGGGAGCCAGAATTCTTGCTGGTTGGTAGGGGATCAAATACTTATTTCACTGACTGAAATGCAAATCAGTCTCTAACCTTTATATAATGCGTTTTTTCTGGATTTTTTGGTTGGTGTTCTGTCTCTATCCGTTAAAATAAATCTACCTTAAAAATTACAGACCCTTCATTTCTTTGCAAGTGGGCAAACTTACAAAATCAGCAGGGGGTCAAATAAATATTAATATTAAATTATATAAATATAAAATATTAGTAGCAATGCCCTATGCCCTAAAGCATTGTGATGTTCTTTGTAGCTAAATTGGAATGTGGATTTACGTGGTGATAATCATCGAAATTACTTCTTAAATGTTAGGTAGATTAAACCAGCACAGTTTTATTCCTATCTTGTCAATGGCAGATTGATACAGATCAAACTCCCTAGGCTAGTGGTCCAGTCTAAGGCATGATCTTTCACTATTACACTCTAAAAAAAATGCTGGGTTGTTTCAACCCAACTTTGGGTCAAATATGGAGTAACCCGACTTTTGGGTTAAAAATGTAATGTAAAAATGTAACCCTACGGTTGGGTTAGTCCATATTTGACCCAAAGTTGGGTTGAAATAACCCAGCATTTTTTAGAGTGTAGGATGTGAAAGTAGACTTCAGACTTGTCTTTTCCTTTTTCATTTCAGAAGTACAAAATATTCTAAACAGTACAAATGAGGCCGTCATGTATATAGGAGAAACATGATTGGGGTTGGGTCTGCCCCCTAACTCGTGTCTACAGCATGTTTCATTCTGACTGGATGTGGAACTGCTGTTATTCCCCTTTAATTGCACCAGTTTTCTAATATTAGCTGCAGTTGTGTGTCACGAGTATTCCCCTGCCTCATGTCTAGACGAGCAGCTCTCCAAGATGAGGTGCAGTGAGCTGATAACGTCACCCACAGAGATCACGGCTTTAATGTCAAGTGCTTCTGCATTCAAGGTCATGCTGATCGATATATGTTCGCTCCAGCATCTCTTCGATGATGTAGGCCACAATAAACATGAGATGAGCAAAGATGACATAGCCCTCAAACTCTGGTGCGGGATCTGAAATGTGCCTTGTGCTCCGGTTAGCTTGGGTTTGGATTTTGTGTGTTTTTGACCATCTGATGGTAGTTTCTTGAGTTTGTCCTGAAAGTGAGAGCTGTATCAACACTACACATGTGCTACCACCTAGTGCTGATCTGAAGTAATTCTGATAGGTCATGTACATTTGTTGTAGGTTCATTAAATTAACAGTTGTGCTCATAATTGTATATTTTCTCATTAATGCACATCTTGTAGAATCTGTTGAATATTGAATATTTAATAGAATTAATATTTAATGTTTTTTATTTGTTATTTTTTATACATTCGTTCATTAGTCCTGCCTAGATGCTTTTTTTAAACATTCATTCATTCATTTCTTTCATTCATTCCTTCATTCTAGTCATTCTAGTCATTTTAGTTAGTAATTTTACTCATTCATTTTAGTTATTTTATTTATTTTAAATATTCATTAATTCATTCCTGCCCAAAAGCAGCATTTTATTTGTTTGTTTGCTTGTTTATTTGTTTTAAACATTCATTCATTTGTTCATTCACTCATTTGTTCTTTCATTTGTTCATTCATCCATTCATTCATTCAGTCCTGACCAAAAGCAGCATTTTATTGTTTGTTTGCTTATTTTATTCATTCATTCATTCATTCATTCATGCATTCACTAAAGCAGCATTTTATTTGTTTGTTTGTTCAGTTATGTTTTAAATATTAATTCATTCATTCATTTCTGCCCAAAAGCAGCATTTTATTTGTTTGTTTTAAATATTCATTCATTCATTCATTCATTCATTCATTCATTTCCAAAACAATATTTTATTTGTTTGCTTGTTCATTCATTCATTCATTCACAAAAGCGGCATTTTGTTTGTTTGATTGTTAGATTAATTATTTCGTTCATTCATTCATTTCTGCCCAAAACAGCATTTTATTTGTTTGCTTGTTCATTCATTCATTCATTCATTCATTCACAAAAGCGGCATTTTGTTTGTTTGATTGTTAGATTCATTCTTTCATTCATTCATTCATTTCTGCCCAAAACAGCATTTTATTTGTTTGCTTGTTCATTCATTCATTCATTCCTGCCCCAAAACAGCATTTTATTTGTTTGCTTGTTCGTTCGTTCATTCATTCATTCAAATTATGTCCCGATAATGTGTTTTGTGTTTGTCTAGGTTTTTCTGTCCTCCCCCTTGTGTGTATCTGATGGGCTGTGGATGGAAGAAGAAGAGGGAGCAGATGGAGCGAGACGGCTGTTCCGAGCAGGAGTCTCAGCCCTGCGCCTTCATCGGCATCGGCAACAGTGACCAGGAGATGCAGCAGCTAAACTTAGAGGGGAAGGTAATGCATACACACACACACACACACACACACAAACACACAGATGTGCTGCCAGAATAAAATGACAAGAGCTACTCAGCCAAGCACACAGAGCCAAAACAATACCATTAGCATCCCATTATTTTTCTCATGAATACACAAATCTTGCCTCCTCCCTGCAGAACTATTGCACAGCCAAAACATTGTACATCTCAGACTCAGACAAACGCAAGCACTTCATGCTGTCGGTGAAGATGTTCTACGGGAACAGCACAGACATCGGCGTCTTCCTCAGCAAGAGGATCAAGGTCATCTCCAAACCTTCCAAAAAAAAACAGTCCCTCAAAAACGCAGACCGTGAGTATATTCACCACCCACATTACACTCAAAGGAAAAGCATTTACGACTGTTTGACAGTTTTCGAATGAGTGATGACACCCTGCTATATAAGAGATATGGAAATGGGAAAGTAGACAGGGCTTTTGATTCACACAACATTGTTTGAAGTCTCTGTGGTTTGTTCTTTCTCATGTGTGCAGTCTGTATAGCATCAGGAACGAAAGTGGCGTTATTTAACCGACTTCGCTCACAGACGGTCAGTACACGTTACCTGCACGTAGAGGGAGGAAACTTTCACGCCAGCTCACTGCAGTGGGGAGCTTTCTACATCCACCTCTGTAAGTCTTTGTGCACATTTCTGTGGAGTAATGTTGATTGCCAAATTGTTAAAGAACTGTTCAAGGGACACAATCCCTGGCATAACTTGGATATACACTACTGTTCAAAAGTTTGGGGTTGATAAGATTTTTTTAAAAGTTTTTAAAAGCTCTCTTATGCTTACCAAGTCTGCATTTTTTTTATTTATTTATCTATCAAAAACAGTGAAGACAGAAATATAGTTAAATATTATTACAATAAAATAACTCTTTTCTCTTTTAATATATTTTAAAATGTAATTCATTACTGTGACGCAAATCTGAATTATCAGCAGTCCTTAGTCCAGCCTTCAGTGTCACATGATCCTTCAGAAATAATTCTGATATGCTGAGTTGGTGTACAAGAAACATTTGTTATCCTTATCAATGTTTTAAACCGTTGTGCTGCTTAATATTTTTGTGAAAACCATGGAGCATATTTTTCAGGATTCTTAGATGATTGTAAATAACAGAATTTATTTGC